CGAAAGCCACGAGGGTGACGACCTGGACATGTTCAGCAATACACAAATTCCACCTTACTTGGAACGGTAAGCAACCACGAGGTGAACAGCTAATTCACAACATGTGTTTCTGACCCTGGGATTTATATGCTTTACCATCGACAGAAACAAACGGCATTCAAGCGGTGCCCAGACGCGGGGAGCTAAAGCAGCATTCAACTGAAAGTCATTACGCTTGCTTGGCAGAGGGTGGCTCCCCTTGCTGCTACGTCTCACCACATGGGTTCTGAGTAGTTTTCACACTTTTTGAAGAGCTGTTACCGGCTTTTAGCAATGCTGAGAGGGCGGTGCAGAGAGGCCCCCTTGGCCCGCCCCATCCCCTCTGCTGTTCACCTCTTGGGTTGGTCCTGGTGGTCCCGTTCCCCGCAATCAGTGAGCCAGTGATACCCTGTGGTCACGGAGGTCCATGGCTTGTTCAGACTTCCCAGGTCCGGATCAGTCTTCTCCTCCCTCCCAGATCCCATGCTGGGAACCGCAGTGCACTCAGGGTGCTTCTGGGGCTCCCAGTCAGAAGGAGGCTCAGACACCCAGGGCCACGATGCAGGGCTGCAGACCCTGGTCAGCCAGTACACTGCAGCCCTTGCTGCTGGCACAGTTGCCCCCCATTTTTCTCCTAGGTTTTGGGGACAGCGGTCGGGGGTGGGGGTGCCATTCCACCCTCTGCTGCGGAGGACACACACCCTCACCGCCACTCACGATGCCAGTGCGGACCGTGACCCTGGGGAGCTGGGCAGGCATCAGGAGGCTCCTGCACCCGAGCTGCCCTCGTCTGCTGCCTGTGCACATGCTGCTCTTCAGGAGCAGGTCGCCCCGAGCCCATTCAGAGGAAGGGCGTCTGCTGTTCCTCCTCCTTGGAATTCTTCCACATGGGAAACCTGCCTCTTCTCCCCGTTCAGTATTTTATTCAAGGGTGTATCGATGCTGGCTTGGTCTCGTGGGTATGTTTTATGCTCATGTTATAACCAATAACACTCTGACCTGGCCTCCTTTCTGCAGGGCTCCTCTGACACACCACTATCACTGTGTGTGTGCGCATATCCGCGAGTGTGCGTGCTAGTGTGCACGCTGGTGTTCCATGAACACCTCTTTACTTTCTGACTCTTCAAGCTGCCCAGGTCACCCATCCGTCCACGCTGAGTGAGGAGGTAGCATCTGAACACTGTCAAATAGAAAGCTTATTCTTGATATAAATTTAAGTGTTAGATAAAAACTAATGCCGTTATGTATAGCAAATTCATAGGTAAAGTTTCACTAATGCTTCTCTATACTTCTTGGTATTTTCTAATTTTTTAGCAGTGATCATAAACTATATATTATGTAATGAAAATTACTACTATCATTTTTTAAAAATGTACATAAATCCTGTGTCCCATTTAAACAAGAAAACTCTGATCATATCAGGAGTAATGTTGCAATACCAGTTACTCAGGAGGCTGATGCAGGAGGGTTGAACGTTCTATGCCAGCCTGGGCAACCTAGAGAGAGTATCCCAACATAAAAATTTAAAAAGGGCTTGGAATGTAGCTCAATGGAAGACTCCTTGCCTAACATGCTTGAGGCCCTAGGTTTAATCCCCAGTATTATCAAGAAACAAACAAACAAGAAAACTCTAATTAGTACCAACTTTGGCTGACCCACCACTTAGTATATGAAGTAACTGATGACTGTGAGCTCTAAATATCTGTCTTGAAATGTATGATATTTCAAAACTGGAATTATTCTTTCAAATAGTATCATGGGTTTGAGCCCAGCCTGGGGAACTTAGGGACTTCGTGAGACCCTGTCTCAAAATAAAAACTAAATAAAAGGCAGGGAGGCAGCTCAGTGTGAAGGCCCTAGGTTCAGTCCCCAGTACCACACACAAAAAGTGTTCAAACATTTTTTCCAATAGATTACTTTTGGTCTGAAGAAACAATTCTTTGTTCCACAAACCAATCACTTTAGATGAAGGTCACATGTTTATCTGGAAACATCAACAATGACAAATACCAAAACCCAGAGTGTCTGAACTTGATACATGTAGACAGGTCCTCTGAGGGGGAAGAGTGAACTGGGAGCAAAGGCCAGCACTGGGCTCAGGCTGGGAGATCATTCCACCATCAGCGCGGGCACCTGTGCACACCACGGCGGGCAAAGACAACTGCGTGGTTTTTATAGACCTCACAGGGCACTCTCGTTTTGAAAACCGCTTGTAATGGTTCATCCAGGCTGTTGATAAACACATGGATTGCAGCACTCAGTCTCCCCACTAGAGTTCTGACTTTAGAGCAGCCAGGCAGGCTCATTTCTGGACCAAATATGACACCATGATCCCTAAAGTCCACCGAGAATGCCGAAGATTGATTAAAGGGCAGATCTAGTAAAACATACAATTAAATTAATATAGGAAAATAGGCATCCACTGATAGGTTAATACTCTCTCCTTCATGTTCTTACACTGGTTTATTTCCCATAAAATAATAGTAGCATGTTTATTTTAAGGAGCTTGTCAATTCAGATTTTTTGCCTATTTTATTGACTTTTCCTAAAAAGTAATTGTTCTATTTAGTAAGGGTAAATTCTATTTCATTTGAAAAACAATTTTTTGTTATTAGAAAACTCACTAATAGAGCACACTATAAATTGCTAGTATTAAAAATAGAGACTGATAAAAGTATTATGTAAAATATCCTGCAGAACAAAGAATAGAAAAGAAATCATTCTCAATTTCTGAACCAGAAGACTCCACATCTTTAAGGGACAACATGGGCAATACAGACAGACAGACACAGACTCAGGTGGACAGACTCCGCCAGGATCTAGACAGCACCTAAGTTTTGGTTTAGATACTCCCTTTTATTTGAGCTTAACATTTGTAGCACACTGAGTTTTTCTTTAAAAGGAGCAAACTGAATAATTTGCCAGTGAAAGATTAGCAGGGTGGTTGGAGATGCTCCAGTTCATGACTATTAAAATCATTAAATCTCATTATTAACATGGAAAAGATCAAATATTTGCAATAGAATAACAGTCACCAAAATCGTTAAAATCCATGCATGAGCAGCTTATTTCATTACATAAGCCACCTTTTTAACAGCACTTAAGTATTCAACTCTGCTTATTAATCTACATTACATATAAATATCCATAACCAAAGTCTGTCTCATTATGAAATTTCAAGATAACTTCAAAGGTGTTTCAGTTTTTATCAGTATATTTCTTGTTTACCATAAATCTTCCCTTTGCCTTAGCTTTCTTGATAATTATCACTTAGGTATTTAAAGTTAGGGTGAACTAAGGCATCTCGACATGATGCAGATACCCATTTATTAATTAGACTGTCCAGAAATGCAATTATAATTCTGTGACTTTTTCACTAAGTATTCTTACAAACCTTGTCTTGCCTGATCATACACTATTTCTGTAGGTTATGGATTATCATAAAGCCCTCAGCTTTTCATCACTTTTTTATCAAAAGTAAAACTCGGATATAAAAAATAATCCCTTTGCTAACACCTCAGAAAATAAAGCATAAACACAGAGATCTTTAATGTGTTACTTTATACACAAGAAAGTGATTCAAAATTATTATTAACTGACGAGTTAGACGTGGGCAGTATCTAGAAAATGTTCAGAATAGTATTAGCTTAAAGGTATAAAATGTCAGGACAGATTCCTTCCCTCTAGACTCTTTAATCTAGTGAGGGATTACAAGCAACATCAAAAAAATGTTAGTAGGAAAAAAATGACTGAAAACAGACTAGTAGTTCAAAAAGAATAATAAAGTTATGTAAATAATGAGGCATTTTGATGAAGGCTTTCGGGAAGGAGGGATTTTTTCAGCTATGTTTTGAGAGGAGAGGCCAGTGATCAATCGCGAATTACACCATTGTTGTTATTACTGCTTCTTTGATTTTTCTCTCAAGTATTATGTCACAGAGGGCTGCCATATCTTGCCTGGCTACCCTACAGTGCTCCAAGTGTTTATGGCTAGAACATAAGAACTTTTCAAAGCAGAGCTATGCTTACTCTTGCTTATTAATAATTGGCAAGAATATTTCTCCCCCCAAAATCCATGCATTAGCAAAGCATTAAACCTCCCCAGACAGAAAGGCAAGCTTCAGAGTCAACATGTTTTTCCCAAAATAATGAAGCTGGGAGAGTCTGAAGACATGTTAATGGTCATTAAGCTAGCAGTATTTTCCTCTTGGGATTGAGAATTCGAAATTCCACATACACAATAAAAATAGTGGAAACCTGGCCCAGTAGCTCTGCTCCAACAGTGAACAAACGCCAGCCATGGGGCCCACCTGTGTCAGAAGGTGAGACACCTGCTGATCGGTGGGACCCTTTCCAGAGCTGGCACTGTCCACGGGAGCATGGCATGTGATATCAGGGCCACACCACGAGACGCCCCTGTAAATTTAACTCCTGCCTCAAATGATGTATTTCCTAGTTCTGGAGAGGAAGAGAAAACGTGGGAGCAGTTCAGCTCAGCTCGGAGAGCCAAGCTCAAGCCGGTAGTCCAACGTGCCTGCCTGTCGGAAGAGAAGATGTGTTTCCTTTAATGGCAACTGTTTATAGTCCCACCTTCCCTGTCACCAAGAGTGGACCTCACCTCCACTGACCCCCACACAAAGACAGACTAGAAATGCAACTTTTCTTTGTGCATCTTCCCCCTGCAAACAGTGAAGTGAAGCTCACTTTAGGAAGGCAAGTTCCTGGGACCTAACAAAACCACAGCCACAACTAGCCCTGCCCTGGGTTTGCGCTTGCTCATCTTGCTCATGAGCCCAGAACCGTGTGAGCTACCAGGCATGTCTCCTCAGCCCTTCACTCAGAGTCACCAGGAAGACAGCAGAGTCCCACCTGGACTCTTCTTCCTGGGGAGCAACAGGCTCTTACAGGGATGCGCAGTGGGACCACAACCCGACTCAAGTTTTCCACACGGGCAGGAAGACCTCGAGGAGAGGAGGACTTACTTCTTCAGGAGTCTCTGCACGCTCCTGGATTCCCTGGGAATGAGCCATGTTCCTTTGCTTCCTGGTGTGCAGACCTGGTCGGAGCGCCTGTGATCCAACAGGTGACAGACACAACGAGGCCTGTGCAAGCACAGGTCACCCACGCTGCCCACACGTTCCAGTTCCGGGGACTCCACATGCCCCGAGGCCTTGCGTGCCCTGCACAGAGACGCTCCATTCGGGGGACAGCCACACCCCGGAGCTGGAAAGGTCTTCACCTCGGTGGGAGCTGTTTTCTGAGGTGGCCGACAGAGACCCCCTGCAGGCAGAACTCTGCTACCCAGGGTCTCCGCAGTCCACACCTCAGACCCTCTATCCTCAGCTTTAGAATGAGGGTGGCTGCTTAGTCCATCTAGCTATCAACATGAGTTTCCGGAGCTGTAACTGTTTAGAACAGAAAGCCAAAGTGGGACAACACACTGTAAACCTTGGGTGCTCCCTCTTGCATCAAGAAGAGAGTAATAACATGTGGGGGCCATTGCAAGGATTATTAATCCTGCTACTGTACAAAGCACATGGGACACAACAGGTGTTCGACAAACGTCCTGTCCTGAAGTGGGAAACTTCCTAAATGGGTAAATTCCATCCGAGTGTGGCCGCCCAGTCAGTCGGAGCCATTTAACGCCTCTGCGGCCTCTCAGCTCTTCCTATCTCGCCCACATCGACTTCCTGTGCTCCCTGCCCACGGACAAGGCCCCTCCCCGCCCCTGACCGTCCATCACCTGGTCCCCAGCTGCAAAGGCCCTGTCACCACGCACAGGGAGCCCAGCTCGGGGCAGCTGCAGCTCCCAGCAGGTCCGTCCCCAGGGGCCCCTCACCCTGCACCACCTGCCCAATCCCTGCCTTCAGGCTCTGCATCCACATCCACGTGCCAAAGCCCGCAGTCGTCATGGTTACAGGACAGCCACACCGGGACCGGGAAGAGTCACCCAGTTTCGGGTCCCTGCACCCTCGCCCAGGCCAGGGGACCCTCGGCCCCACGTGCACACCCAGGGCACAGTTCTGAGGGCAGGAAGCCCCGAGTGCCCCGGCCCGCAGCGGGGAGGTGGCGAGGACGAGGCCCCCGGGACGCGACTGTCGCGGTGCCACCCGGGCTCGGAGCCACAGTCCCCGCGCTGCCCGCTGGACCTCGCGGTTTCACGGACCCCACGCAGCCCAGCCCGGCCCCCTCCGCCCGGGTCGGGTCCGCTTCGCTCCGCCCGCGCGGGGGCGCAGTCCGGGTCCCTTGTGCAGCCGGGGCTCCGGGACTCGGCCGGGCGGGACCGGGCGCGGCGAGGGGATCAGCGGTCAGCGGGGCTCGGGCTCGGCCGCAGGCTCCCGGGTTCCGCGCGCCCCGCCCTTCCCTTCCCTTCCCTTCCCTTCCTTCCCTTCCCGGCGCGTGGCCCCCTGCTCGGGCCGAGGGGGCCTGGGGACCCCGGGACAAGCGGCCCCGGGGCTCGGGTGGCGCCCGCGGCTGTGCGCGCCGCCCCGGCCCGGCCCC